GGCCGAACCGGGATCATATATATTCACCCTCATTTGGCAATTCCGGTGCATCATAGATCTTAATATAAGCCGAAAACCCTTGCGGTATTTTTTTAGGGCTTTGTTTGCCTTTGCCACTGGGCGTCTGGCCAGGTCGGCTGACTCCTTTACCACGCCTCCGGGTCTTCGGGCGGCGGCCTTCCAAGACTGCAACGCCCTTAGGCCCTAGGCCCTAGGCCTCAAAGGGCTGTCAAGCAGAGGCTCGCTGCGCGACCAAGGCGACGCGCCTCGATGCAGACCTCCGTGGCCTCCTCACCAACCTCTCCGCCCGACGGTGGAGATCAAAGAGACTCTGGGAGGGAGCGCGCCTTCTGTGCACACTTGTCGGGGCCTTTGGCGAGCAGGCGCGCCGTCCTTCGAGGGCGCACGCTGAACCTCGCGTCGTGGTGCGCGCTGGCGCGCGCGTGCGCGCGTCGGTCCAGGAGCGGCCGGCATCCTGGGCCTGCACCTGAGACTGCTGAGACTGGAGACGAGGCGAGGCTTCCTCACAAAAAACGGTACCCACGACCCTCCCTCGGCCTTCCGCTCTTGGATCGTGCGCCAGAGGCGATCTAGCCTTTCAAATCCTGGCTTGGACACCTTTCGCATCAAACGGATGAACACCCGTCGAATCCGTTCCCGCTCTGCGCGCCGCCTCTTGGTGGCATTTGATGGTCTTGCCACTTGGCCAGCTCTCCGGCCTCGAGGCCTCTCCCCAGAAACGAGTGCGCGTTGTGTGCCCCCAGCGGCCGTCTCTCTCGCGTCTTTCTCAGGTTTGGGCCGGCAGCGCGGTCAGGGCGCTCCACGCCGAGCCATAGGCTGCCGTTGTCACCAGCCACCGCGATGCATGCATCGTCTGGGTCCTAGACTTGATCGGATCCATTTCACGCAGTCTCAAAACGAAATCTTCCCACCTGCAAACAGGGACCCAGAGGAGCAAGCGGATGCTACTCGGCTGCCTCGAGCCGACTGCGCAATCAACTCGGAGCATCGCCTGCCAACATGCCTTGGGCCCTGTCTTGGGTTTTGTGCGTGCGAACCAGTCGATGTTGCAGCGGAGTTGGTCCAAGGGTCACCAACGTGTTGCTGCTCATTCTGGGTCGCTAGCTCGTTGCTGCTGGATTAGGTTCGGTGAGCTCCACAGCTTTCAGGCATGAACACCAGAACAGACAAGAATCGGTTCCCGTCTTGTGTTTCTCTTCGGAAAGCGAGGGCACGAAGGATCAGAGCGTCAGCAAACCTCGGAGGAGCTCCGGTGAGGCCGACAGCGGCAGAAACAAAGGCGGATGACAAGGTCTCAGCGCCCTGCCCAAGAGGCCCGTCGTGTCCAAGTTCGATGGCGGCACCTCTGGTCGCTGCGCTGAGCTAAGTTTCATGGCATCTTCTCTTGCCCCAGAACATCCGAGTAGCGTTGTGGCTAAGGCCCAAAGTCTCAGCGTCGGCATTGAAGATCTGAGTGTGGTCAGTCGTCAGGTCACTCGTCGGCTATTCCGAACGTGAATTCTCATGTTCGCTTGGAAAGTCACGCAGCTGCTTTCCGACTGGATCTGGTCTTACAAAACCTGCGGCTCGATACCTCCCTTCCTTCTTTACAGCTCTCACTCTCGATCAACTCTTCCTGCCAGGACTTCCAGCAACCCAACAACTTGAGCCCACTCTCCGGGGCTTGGAGAGCGCAGTCCCCTCCCTCTTCCTTTGCTGTTTCCTTTTATGCGGCCAAGATGCCACTGCTACGTTTGTCGGCGTTCCCTGCGCAGGCAAGCGGCGATTGGCGATTGTCCGTCTCTCAGCGGCACAGTCGATGCGCCTTGAGGAAGTTGGAGTGGGGGAGGTGACAGTGCACGTCGAGTCCGGGGATGGACAGCTGGCACGTGCAAGCCGTCCAATTCGTGACAAAGCTGTAGCGGCCCAGGGCATAAGGCCTCGGTCAACGGGAAAACTGGGCCGTGAACAAGCGCGGCAAAAGCTTCCGCTTGCAGTGACGAGACTCTCCTTGCACTCTAGGGAAGCCACCAGAAGGGCATCCCATCAGTCTTGAAGAACTGCAACTTGGGTAAGTGCTTCCGGATTATGTTGGGGTCCTTGGCAGCATCGTGGTCCAGGGCCACCGTCTGCCAGAAATTGCCGGCAATCCGGTGCTGCTCGGCTTTCTTTCGCAGGTTCACGGCTAGGTTCATGATCTCGGAGCCTCTGCGAAGGACGTGGCCTAATCACGTGCAGCCCCCTATTTTGGGTTTTGGGGGGTTCTTCAGGCGCGCCTCGGATGGCCCGCGAGAGCGCCGCGCAGAGCACGTCGTTGCTGGAGAGCTTCTCGGCTCCTGTCTGGAGCTCGCGCTTCTTCTCCACGAGCTGCGCCTTCGAGAAAACCGAGACGCTGCAGTTTCGCCTGGGGCCACAGAGCTTCTGGCAAAGCCAGCCCAAGATGCCCCAGCGCAGGTTCTTTCGGTCTTTCTCCGAAACCGAGTCTGGGAAGAGGTCGAAGCTGAGCCTCCAGTCGCTGTCCCAGACAAGTGGCAAAGGCGTCTCGCCGCGCATCAGCGCGTTCATCTGTCCTACCAACTCGTAGAGGGTCTTGATGTCACCGACGATGTGCGACAGGTGCACGGCCACCACACACGTATCCTTCCCGGCCATCAACTCGACCAAGAAGACCTGGCTTCCATGCCCCAGTGTGAAGCGCCCATCCATAGGGGAACAAAGGGAACCCTCCAACGACTGGAGCAGGCGGATCTTGGCCTTCAGGTCCAAGCCCTCCAACACAGGGGCGGCTTCCGAGGAAGCCATCGGGTATACACGGAGGAACTCCTTGTGCGCCTTCGGTTCCAGCAGTACGCGGCCGTCCTTCTGCCAAACGCGTCCAGAGAGCACAGGGTTCATCTCCACCAAGGCGTCTACTGTCTTCTGCAGCTCTGCCTGGAGTGTCCTCAGGTCGGGCAGTGCACTACACGTCGCTGTTCTTGAGGTTGAGGGTGGCTGTGTGCATGCCGAGGCTCTCATGCTTTCCGGAGAGAAGCGTCAATGTTGAGATCGTGGGGGAGCTATTGATCGCCCCGTATGTGGCGGCACGTCCAACGTCCATGACAGTCATGTTTGAAGGCCTCTAAAGGTTCTCCAGCTCTACAGACTTCGAAGCATGTTGGCTTTACAGATGGCTCTACCTTCCGCTGAGATTCTCGAAACACTTCACGTGAGCGAACATGACTCAGTGACTCGAGGCCTTGCGGCATGTTTGCAGCACAGCGTGGTTCTTCGCGGACTGTACGAGTAAGTTTCGAAACACTGCTAAACCTCCTCTGAGCCATCGCACACTGCAGCATGGAATTGCAACATGTCGGGCTTGCATCCTTCGTATAGGGTAGGCAGGTATGACTCTTGTTGCACATTTTCTGCCTGAGGCTCAAAGCACTGTCGTTCAAAGCCCTCGCTCAGGCGTCGGAGTAGCTGCGTCACGTCCCACGCACATGCCACGCCTACACCCGAAGAGAGCGACGAGGAGCCACGGGCTCGCACACACTCCGCTCATCTCTGCACAACCTAAACCCTCGCACTCCGCAGTCACTCCGCAGTCACTCCGCAGACCTACGTCAAAATGGCCCACTTCTTCCAGGGATCTCCGGCAGACGCGGCAGTAGAGAGCCCGACGGGGCCCGAGGCTTCGGTCGTCCTGGGGCACCGCAAACCGCAAGAAAGAAAGAAACACACCCCCTCTGGGCGGAGCCTTTTTTCCTAACGTTGGCGGTCCCC